GGAGACTTCACACGTTTTCCCAGGGTTGTGAACAGGGTTTGACATGCAGGGTTCATCACCATGTTTTCCTGCCCGTTATAGGTTATTGGTACTAAACATTGACATATATACGTAACTTAGATCAATATAATTTAGAATAGAATAGATACAAAAAAAAATGATAACACAAAAAAGGAAAACAAAATTAAAGAAATAATAATTTATAAGCAAAATAAAAAATACAATAAAAAAAAACAACATTAAATAAGACAAATCTGTCAAAAAACAAATTTTGTACTGTCATTTGTGCGGTTGTGACGTATGCAAAAGGACTTCATTCAGCATAAGCCCCAGCCATAATTTACTATGGCGCTGGTTTTCAATGAGCCCTGAGCTGAGATGAGTGATGGACGTGTGTGTTTAAATATTTGTGTATGTGTTCTTTGTACATTGTGTTACTGCTGTATGGTATATTCATTCTAATATTCAAATATATAATGTAATATTCTTTTTTATATTAATTATTTACTCTAAAATTCAATATTGTAATTATTAGATATATATATACATATATATATCTAATATATATATATACACACACTTTTTTAGAAAAATTAACAATACATACCAGTAAATATTTCGGTGCCGTTAACTGAAATATAAAACACACTTTGAATTGTATAACATTTGCATTTTACGTTCAATTTTGCACGCGTTGAAATGACTGTAACTACGACGATGAAAATTTCTATGTTGATAATTGTACCTTTCGCCGTTACATTAACTTGCATGGCGTTCAAATTTGTGTTAAAAAACGGTTTGTAGATAATGCTTCGATGGTTTGGTCATGAGGAAAGATAAGGTTGTTCCGTTTGTCTCTTCATGGTTTTAGAGATGTTTTAAGGACATCGTGACAAGTGCTCATTAAAGAAACACCATTATTCTTATTACATGATTTCATAATATATTAAGTAAAAATGTAAAAAAAAATCCTATCCGTAAGGCTGCGTAACAGATTGACTGTATGTTTGCAGTTAATGCGTTAAGTCATATTCAACTTCATGCAGCCAATACCTCGAACTGCATGAAGGTGATAATAACATAACGCATTAACTGATGAAACTGCATGCAGTCGAAACCGACTTCATGCAGTTGAAAACGATTGCATTCAGTTTCATCAGTTTGAGTTCAAATGTTAAAATTGATTTAATTTGGTTACACGTGTTACGTACGAACGCTGCTAGATGGCATTACTTGTGTTCCGCTTCGAGCTGCCTTTATGGCGCTATAAAACTCGCCCTTTTAGATAACCTGTAGTCTTATTGCTTTTCGACTATATTTAGATCGCCACTTTATGACCCTGAAATGGTGGCTGAATGAATGGATATTTTAAAGTATTTTTCATTACATTTCTGCCAAAACCATTACATAACTGCCTCCGTGACCGAACGGTTACCATGCTGGACGAAGTTCAATTCCCGTGCCGGGAGAAATATTTGTATGGCCTACATTTATTTCTCTCGTGAGTTTGGGTGTAATTTGTGGTTGTCTATGTGTGTGTCCATGGTGATACAGGGTTTCCCTAGTGCGGGGCTATGAGTGTGTGCGAGTGATTTTTATTATAAACGGTGCGGATCTTAATCTAAGGTAACTTGGCCAGTTAGGATAAATAATTTATCAATGTTCGAATCTGTATTTCAAAAAATAAAAATTTCAGGCTATGTAGACAATGCTTCGATGGTTTGGTCATGAGGAAAGATTGGTTGTTACTTCTTCTTATCGTATCGATGGCATAAAATGCTTGTCTTAGTGTTGAAACGATTTGCCAATCGGCGTAAGGTACTCGCCGATTATTGCCCAGGATACGCCAGACGTACAGGAAAGGGATATGGTACGTCGTGCGGGGAGGCTCCTTTCGTGCATCCCATTGAAATTTTCTTAAAGGCAATAGCGTAAAAGCAAGTGTGGATGGAAACATGAGGTTAGTAGAAAAGTAGCTAGAATTAAAGATACTATGTAAAAAGCCTAATGTGCTACGTATCAAGTGGAGCTCTGTAGTCTTTGTCTGCTTCATGGGGAGACCAGCGTGATGGTGTATATTTTATGTACGTAGTTACGGTTTATATAGCAGTGTAAGCGTATTTGCTCACTGTGATTTGTATTCGTTCTGTTAGGCGGCAGTGGGCACAAGTCTTTTTAAAAAAAAAACTCACAAAAACTTTCCCTAAATATTTATTGGGCACTTTCACAATTTTACTAAGTTTAAACTTTTACAAAAATGTGACCCACGGGATTACGGCACTAAAGTCCACCTGGTTACTCCTGGTCAACGCGTGTTGCGCGAGTGGCGGTTAATCAGCTAACTGAACGGCCACGCGGCTGCATTCAGTTTTATTAAAATATAAATGAAAAGTAATCATATTTAAGGGAAGAAAATCAGGGTATAACAGTTCCCAATCTGTGAAATTCGCTTGAACACTTAGAGATAAATTGACCCTTGTGACATTTCGGACCGTCATTCATTTCTCGGATTTGGAACGAATAAGGGAAACTATACTCTAAGGGTGCGTTAATGAAGGCATCACAGCTTTTCTTTTATTTCCTGTAGATTTACGACTCGAGCTTCATACATTTGTATAGATCGTACAATGTCAGGACACTCTGTGTTCTAGGTTGTTGAATTCGAAATTGTTTCGATTTGTGTAAGATTTGTTTAGTGGTTTTTCTTTTGCTGCAGATTAGGTTTTACTGGTGTTAGATTTCTATGTGATTTTTTTTGTTATACCGAGTGACGTGGACGATATGGACTGTATAAGAATGGAGTGAAGAAGGCGACAGGAATGAGCACAAATATAAAAGAAACGCAATAACAAAAACATGTAATTCACGACACACTTTCACTGACAATCAATACTTCAAAAGGTTTTTTTTTATAACATCAAGTGACGGGACGAACAAGTCGTGCACCTGATGGTAAGCTACACGCCTGTCCATAACAGTTACAGTGCCACTCAGAATTGCAAAGATCTGAGGGGCACTACCACTGCGCCCGTCACCCTGAGACATAAGTTGACAAGTCCCATGTGCCTGTAATTTGACCAGCACCCTTAACCTTCAAAACCGGAACACAGTAATGCTGACATTACTGCTTGGCGGCAGAAATAGGTAAGGTAGTGGTGGTTATCGCAAAAGTAATACAAAATCAAAACGTAGCAAAAAGCCAAATAGAAAATTATACAAAAGCAAGGAGTTCGTGACACCAAGTGATGGGGCAAACAATTTGTGCACCTGGTGATAAGTGACACGCCAGTATCTAAATTTTTATCTTCAAAATCGAAACGCAGTAATGCTGACATTACTGCTTGATGATGGCACAAATAGGCAAGGTGGCAGTAATTCCCTGGACGAACTCTTTTCCAGGAGTGCTACTAGTTGGTCTGGTGTATTCATATTAAAGTTCGATTTCTTTGAGACTTAAGATTGTATATCTCAAGCGTTATGCTTCCATTATGGAATACGGCTATGAAGTGGAATTACTTGTCTGCAGACTTGTTCCCTGGGCGTTATAACTTGCGACTTTTCAAGGCGTGAGTGAATAGGCATTACATATGTAGGTGTATATACTCCTAGTTTCCTAATGAAAACTGACGATGTGTCCTCACTATCTGGAGATAGATAGTGAGGACACTAGGTGAGATGGATCTCACATAACGGTGAGATGGAGGTCACATGCGCACGCATTTGTGATATTGAGGATTCTTTGTATCACAAATGTTTATGAGTTGTGGTAACCAATTTTTATGTAGCGGATCGCTGGCTGTTTGTATCTATATCATTAAAAATATCCACAACTTCCTCTACTACGAAAATATCGTTAAGCCTTCGAATTCTCTTAACAAGATTGATGTTGAGCGTAGTTTGGCGTATGCAGCCTTTTCAGATTGTTTCGATATTTTACATGTTTAATGTAATACCGTAAATTATAATTATAGACAAATTTCTATTACTTACTTGCTCCGTTGGCTCAATGACTCGAAGGGGCTCTTAACCTCCAATACGAGCTGGCGCCAGCGCGCCCTGTCTTGTGCCATCTCCTCGGAGTTCTCTGCGAGAAGGGCGTGGAGGTCTCCACTTCGTCCCTTCATCGGTCGTCGATCACTAGGACGTCCTATGAAGACCCTTTTGACTACTCCATGCGCTGGCATCCTTTCGAGGTGTCCGAGCTAACGGAGTCTTGCGGACATGATTTCTCCAATACTTACTTTAACATTACTTTAATATTACTTTTTTTCTTCTGTTAATCTGCCCTACGAATGCGTAATAGTGTTTCACCACTTGGATGATTTCAAGTGTACCTTGCTTACCTATGAAATAACGATATTTTGAATTAAACATTTTTATAATTCTGTTCTTTTTTAGTTTTTCTTTTACTTACAACGGCGACACTGTGAGGAGGTCCATTTTGGAATTTTCGAGTCACCATATTGGTAGTTAAGAAGGATATTATGCGCATTAGGATATACGTCAATCGATTGTGTAGAGAATAAAAGTAAGGCGCCAAGGATTTGGCATTGTTGTGCTGTATTTCAATTTGACCCAGATAACTTTACCCGCGACGATATTGTGATACCAACAATTTGCAAGATATCATCATAAGCATTACCCCAAAAAAACAGACATTCCGTACATTTTCTTATTAGTTATTAAATAAATGCGTAATATTTAATAGAAAACCACTGACACAAATAAGAATAAAAGGGTTGTCGGAATTCCTTTATTACCGCTCTTTGGATATTCGTATGGAACTCGGTGTAAGTTGCAGGTTTATAATAAAAATAAAAATGTTTATTTCTCCTTCCACAATAGTACTAAAACAAGATACTTACGAATAACTTAGGACGTGTGTGCGTGCGTGTGTGTGTGGTTATATTACGTAATTTGGCTGTCCGTACTTCGCACTCTTTATGTAATAAGGCTACAATGTTCATAAGGCTTAATTGAACATTTTTGATCATATTTAGGCCAAGCCCGCCTCGACGGCCCCTTCTGCGACTACACAGACGCAGACAAGATGACGTTCCTGAAGAAGCTATCTTCGATGGGTGTCAAGAACATCGAGATGGAGACAACAGCCTTCGCTGCATTCACTGGAGAAGCGGGTATACGGTCTGCTGTGGTTTGCGTTACTTTTTTGGACAGGCTGTTGGGCGACCAAGTTAGTATTTGTTTGTAGAAAAGGTTGTTTTTAAGATAAAGGAATATAATGGGAAAACATGCAAGAAGTGCTAAATTTTTCATTAAAATAAAATAATCACATCTCTAGCCAGGGCTGGTAGCTGTAAAGGTACCTAACTGGGCGATGAAATACTTTCATAGATTTCTCACAGTTGGCGCTACGGCTAAAAGTTCAATCCAGTTGAAAACCAAATACAAAAATCCGACAGCAAGCACAGAAAAATTCGTGAGGTCCCTTGGTTCGTGCCGTGGCTTAGTTGGCATAGCGTCTGGCACGGTTTGCTTGGCGACGTCGTTTCGAATTCGGTAATTCCGGAATCCCAAACTCACGAGAGAAATAAATGTAGGCCCGTACAAATATTTCTCCTGACCCGGGAATTAATTCTAAGTAAAGCAATCATCATCCAAGTTAGACAGGATGCCAAATCAATATGTTTAACTCGCACAATTAAGTTACGATTTTTCCGTTGCACATTGTTCCTAGGCTAAACTTACATTATTCCGCAACTTGACGCTATTGTAATCATCAAAGCTGTGGTTTGGTGGAAAGCAATTTCTAGAAATCTAGGACAACTCGGAGCACGAAGCTTGGAAGCACAAAGGTTGAATTTAACGCGAGGCTAGTTTTTAGGTGGTGTGGGGGTCGCGCTTCACGTCCCGCAATTCTCGCGCTGTACATTAATTTGAATAAAATAAGAACTGGCGTATATAGACACACATTCCAACATTGACAAGCGCCCGATGGCGACTGACTGGAGAGCGGGCAGCGCGGCGTGTCGTTAAACTGTTGGGCAATTTGAAAATTTTGTGATAAATTTGAATTTATTATCTAATAGGGCTTCAGTTGAAAATCAAAATTTAGCAAGTTTTCTGTAGTACTCTAAGAGAAACATCTCCTTATAAAAATGACATATAACGTTGGATTTTTTATTCTTCAATAATTCACTTCAGATTTTTATTTTAGCCTGTTTTCAGGATTTTATACCGATTTGAAAAATTTTACAGTGAGCGATCAAAGCATTATTTAAGAAAAAAAAAAAATATCTCTACTTTTACTTGTTACGAGTCCTATATGGGTCGGGCTCGGCCTGCGGCGCGTGGTCTTTTTCAGATTACGGGGTGGTACAGGAATTAGTACTACGGGCGCTTGATGAGGAGGTTCCAGATTCGATCCCTGATTTGAGCCAATTTATGAAAAATAAATAAGTTGGTTCTGGTCAGGGTATTCTGGGCATTGCCCTCAGAATTATCGTTACTCTGGTACTCAGAGTACAGGTAATTCCCTAGTTTGAGACCAGAAATTTGGAGTGATTGCCTGGCATTTTTTCCCTAAATACTTCTCTTTTTGGCATAGCTTCCAAGAAAAAAGAATCTAACAGAGAGACGGTCGAGATACAACAACGCTATAAGTATCTTATTTCCACTACATCGCGAAGTATGCCTTACATTTTGAACAATACTCGTAATTTAGTTTCCGTATACTATCTACGTAAGGTGGTGTGCGGACGCTTCGAGCTTCGCCCTCCGCTAGGCCTCGGCCTACGGCTTCGGCACTTATGACTTTAAAAGAATTAACATAGTTCTTTAATGGCAGCCATATTGACCAATGACAAAAAGTAAATTTTGACTGCAAATTATTGTTAAACATCCATAGAGAACCCCACATGCCGATTTTCAGTAGAATTAGAGCAAATTTTTATCATCCCCTAAAAAAGTTTGTAAGGCAGCAATATTGAAAAATAGCAAAAAATAAATATTAACCGCAAATTATTATTAAACACTCATACAGAACACACGCCCACGCGCCGATTTTCAATCGAATTAGAGCAAATTTTCATCTGCCGCCAAAAACACTTCTATGGCAGCCATATTGAAAAATGGTGATAAACTATTGTTGATCACAAATTATTATCAAACACTTCTAGAGACCCCCACAAAACAAATATACGCGATTTAAATCCGGAAAAATAGTTTCATTTCCTGCATTAATATTTTCCAAATGAACGTTAGACATTTTATCTTTCGAGTGTCGATATGATCAGATACTCCGGTAAAGTACATCCTATCGTGTAATTTGCACTGCATTTTTATAGTAATTTCGTAGCAAGGTTTGTTTTTTATAAGTGCATGTACAGGCGTGAAAGTATGTTACCTTTATATAATGTATGTGGAATATAAAATCGCCGTAAAGTTGCCTGCTTACCGGTATTTTAAAGGATATATGTAGATATATATATATCACGGAGAGTGTGCGATGGAATTACATGGTTTATAATTCCGCCTTCCCCTTTCTATCACCGGGAGACTAGGCGTAGGCTTGAATTCCAACCCCATGTTGTGGATATTCCAAAGATTTGCATGTTACGCGCGTTACGTTTCCACATTTATATGGCGACCGGCTATGGCGTATTCCCTGCCAGCAGACTTGTTCTCTGAACGCTATAACTTGGCCTTTTCGAGGCGAGAGTATAGAGTAATAGGCATTATTTAGGTGTGCATGTTCCATCGTCGACCTCATCGTCACTTTCCGTCAGATGAGATGGAGGTCAAATGCGCACTTACACTTTATATATATGTACACCTCTATATGTATACGTATGTTTTGCAGGTAACTACCAGCAAGTCTACGCTTCTGGATTGGCAGACACGACCCATGACCGTCATCGGGCGATATATAGTCAAATCTTATCAGAAAACTAAATCTAAGTGAATTAAAATCTTTGCTAAATAAAGGTTATTGTTGAAATTTATTGTTCCAATTCTCATGTAGGTATCCTTACACATGAAACCTTGAAGGGACGTAGCAGTGTCCGGACCAGACAGAGATGTATCGAAGTTTTAAGCTATCGTAAATCAATCAACCATGATCAACACATTTAAAGTCCCACTGCTGTGTACGGTCTCCTATCAGGGAAGGATTTAGGCAATAGTCCGTCACCCAGGTGCAATGCGGGTTGGGGACTTCAGATGTTTACAAAGGGTTGTGAATATTCTTCGAAGGTTTCATCACGATGTGTCCTTACACCGCAAAGCTCATGTTAAATTTCAAATTAAGTGAGGTGCGAGCCCGGCTTCGGACCCACGGGCTCTATTTGAGAGGTGGTAGGTTAAATAATTAGGCTACAACGGTTATAGTAATTATTAATCTTATGGCCCCTGTCGCTAATATATCATATTCGCAAGGCATCACATTCTCAAGATATTACATTGTCAAAATACCATTTTCGCTAAACACCACATTCGCAAAACACAACATTCTAAGTACGGGTAAACAGCAGGTCTTATTAGCGACAGACGGAGGGTTAAATAGGATTGCTGTAACTGCTGTAAGTTTAACTTTGACTAATTAGTTATCTTAGTAATTTGTTGTTATATTAGTAATTTGGTGTGGAGTGATGTAGGCGCCAGGGTTGTTGAGGACTTCCGTAGGTCGACAGTTCCTACGAGTGTAAAGGGGGTAGTTTCTGAAAAGTACCCAAAGCATATCTTAAATATGAGGTGTAACTTACTGTGCAACAAACGCATAGATTTTTTTAGGACGATCCTTACACCATCTAGTGACGGAGCGAGGTTATTAAAATGATTACTATTGTTGTTTGTTGTGCTACAATATGACGTTTTTTTTTGTTATGTATTTTGTTATTGTTATATAAAAGTTTCTACAATTCAAAATGGATTATCGAACTTAGATTATGTATAGCTGCCACATTGATGTGATACTGCAGATTTTACTCAAATAAGTTTACTTTTAAATTAACTATGTTTTCGGTTCTAGATAGAAATTTTATACGAAGTTGCGTGTTGCGATTATTGTAAAGCTTTCTGTTAATCAGCCTCACCGCAAAACGAGCAAAACGTCTTTGTAGTAAGACTTTGCACTAAGTTCCCACTTTCATGTATTTCTAGTTAAAAAAATACATTGTCACTGGTCTATAAAAAGAGGTTCTATAATATATTCTCATCAACATTCCGCTTGTCCGGTACTCAATAATTTTATGACAATGACGTCACTACGTCACGTCCTGTTACTACAAATTCCAAAAAACAGTCGTATACAAATAAAATCCTATTAAAGCGAGACAGAGCTACGCCGCGTAGAGCCTTGCGCAATTGCCTTTCACTCCAACCTCTACGCCAGTCCGTAGCGGAACTTCGTCGCATGTAGACGCAATGTCGTGTGAAATTATCCATTGTTCAGAAAAAACAACATTTGTTTATTAAAAAATAACAGAAACTTGTAATAATACTTTTGTTTGTCAATTGAAATGTGTATTTTCAATAATTGTAAATGAATTAGTGCGTATAGAAATGAGAGGAGTTTCATTTCAGTGTTAGGTTGCAATATAGTGGTTTTTGGTTTGAATTCGCGTGTGATGAAGCGGTTTGTGTGAAAATTTGATTTTTGTGTGGGAAAAGTTGTTTTACTGTGTTATTTTTTGTGCAATATTAGATGGAAAAGAATGACACGTAAGTATAATAACTCTCAATTAAAGACAAGATAATCACGTAAGTCACCTGGTCTCCATTTGATACGAGAGCACTAGAGCAACCCGTAGCTGAATATCTAATTAAGATCTAAATTGATTCAGTCGGGAATTGAAGACGGAACTTATCATCTGGAACACGTAGTCACTAATATATCAAATTTCTTATATTTGTAGGTCGTAATTAAACTTGGGTTTTACACATAGAATTTTAAAAGTTTATTTTATTTACTTTCAAACACAATCTTAATAATGCATATCGTACAATAATCCGTATCCTTGTTATAATAAAGTCACGCGTGATAAGTTAAAATTGGTTTTTATCACGTGAAAGTCATACAATAAAGGAGCATTACTGCATTTGGATTTTTAAAGAGTAAGGGTACTGGTTAAATTACACATGGGACTTGGTAACTTATATCTTGGGGTGACAGACGCAGTGACAGAGGCCATCTAAGTTGCACTGCAACTGCTATGGACAGGCGTGTCATTTAACACCAGGCGCATGAGTTGTTCTTCCTGTCACTAGGTATCATGTAATAAAATAAGAACGTTATTTTTTTCGTTGTTTATTTAACAAATTATGTTTATGTCAAATTTTATGAGTGTTCTATTTATAATAAAAAGTTTATCGATTTGTTTAATTCGTAGAGCTTTTAAACATCACTCCTGAAATGTTATCATTTTGCACAGGTGGCCTTGTTACAACTAAGGGTGCGAATTTGTGTCGTGTCATTGTGAGAAAATAGAACTCATATTATTTTCTATAAAGTATTCTGAAACCCCCAGAACGTTCGTTTACAAACAGATAAAGTAGGCAATTTACGAATAGAGCAAATGGACAAAAATATAAATTACAAAACATCTGGGTTTTTCGTTTTTCAATATGTATTTACTCTTCCTTATTATTTCCAGGATCGTTACCGTTTGTTCGGGACTCCTTTTAGTTTTAGTTTGAACCAGTGTGTCACTTTTATTTTTTATCCTCCCTTTTTTGTTTCATTGTATTGTTTTTTCGTTTCTTTATGAGACTAGGATATTTTTCCTTATTAAAATAAATACATGGCTATTTAAACAACCGAGCCCTTTTCTAATGATTCTAATATAACACAATCACCGTTCTTCTTAAAATTGTTTTTTTTTTGTTTATTCAAGGGAAACAAAAAGGTACAAAACAGGTAAGCTATACAAAAACATCGATTAGAACAACAAGGTGTAATATACAGGTAAGGTACAATAAATGCTTAAATACTAGAAAATAAAAAAAATAAAATTAAATTAAATTAGGCCCGGAGTTCCAGAAACATAAACAATAATTTAGCAAGCGAGTACGGTTCTAATTAGATAACAAAGTAACATCCCGATGCAATTTAAAAAAATACATCTCTTACTTTCCTCTTAAAACTATGTAAGAATAATCCAAAAATATCTATACTATTTAAGTTTTTATTTTAGAAATAAAGATTTTTAAAATAAAAATTTTAATTGGATTGGAGCGCCTAGAGAAAACATTTTTAGAGTAGTTTGGTCTACTGCATGAGAAGGCAGCCTTAGAACGTAGCCTTAATGTTATTATTTTCTTTTTTGTGCCTTAATATATTTCATATGTTAGACTTTATTCAATGCCGTGTAAATACGAGTTACTTAGATAAATTTTATTTTTTTATTAACTTTTTACCGTTTTCTTGTTGACTAGTGAAGCATATGTTGGTTGTAAAAACCTACTACGCAAGAAAGATTCTTTATTTTCCTCGTATCTATGTATATAGAGGTGGTAGAGATTTTCTCATATTATTGGATTTCAGATTGCTTACTTCTAGTTAAATAGATTTGTATAGTATGAAGACATAAACACAGTGCATTGTTTATGCATTGTAAAGAAAACTTATTAATTTAAGTTTAGTTTTATGATTTACAAGCCTAAATTGTCGAAATAAAAAAGTAAGTACAGTAATTGGTCGAATTAATTTTGTTTACGCTATCTCTGAGTTACTTTTTTGTGTAATTTGGGTGCTTTCGTAAACCATTTAGGGTTTTGATACGACAAATATATTTGAATTTCCTCTAAAGTTATATGAATTGGCTCAAAACATAAATTACTTACCTATTACGCGAGAAGAAGATCAAAAGTTACGAAAAATGTAAGAAATGTGACCATCTGGCAACACAACACAATGTTCATTCACTATTATTATCATGTTGTATGCAAAACTACAAAACCGCGCATTAATGGGTTATTTGATAATAGTTTACAACAACAGTAATTAAAAATATCGTATGACAGGTATTCATTATTAACAAACAGCCGTTATTGCCATGTCTACCTGTAACATAAGCTCCTTCAGGTATTTCAGCGACTTCTTGAAGAATCTGAAGACTTCGGGGTGTGACCTTGGTACTGCGGGGTATTCCAGTTAGTAATTGGTTTTGCTGTTTACTTCCTCCACCACCGTGCAAGCTCAGCACAGACTACAGCAAGCGACCGAGCTTTAAATCGCAAAGTTTGTCAGTGCTACTGCGTCTGTCACTCTGAGACATAAGTTGACAAGTCCCATGTGCCTGTAATTACAGGTTTGGAAGGATAAGGGTGATGATGAAATTTCATTAGCACCCTTATCCTTCAAAACCGGATATAATACTAACATTTTATAGAAAACCAAAGCTATACTGTCCTACTACACTGCTGAACATAGAGTACATTCTTTACTATCATTAGAATTTTCGAATACTTCCAAGCCCAATCTACGCTCGCATCACATAAATTAATATATTACGTATAATTTAAAAAAAAATTGTGATATTAATCATTTTAAAATGAAAATAAATAACTCGCAATAGAATTTATTTTTTTAAAAGTATTTATATAAAGTATTTTAAAAGGACATAATTCCAATAACAACTTCAAACATTGGCATTAAATATTCAAAAGTCAATTGTCGTGTTTAGGAGCGCTATCTTGCAAGCGCGTTCCGTTCAAACTATATCCATAATTTATAGCTCATTCAATTATGGAGATACGGATTGTGTAGAGAAGTTAACAGTTACAAAATAAGTACCTTGGGGTAATAAGGCCGTATCTGCAAAATGACAACTTCTCAAGAAAGAGGCTTATAGGTGCTACGAATGAAATTTGTCGATAACTTTTATGCTTAAAGAGAAGGAGAAAAAACATATATTTAAAACTAACAACGTCTAAACCTATAGTCCCCTAAGTAAATATACTTTAAACAAAACAAAAGGATAACCCGGTAAACTGATACA